AGTAATGTTAACAGCTGGCTGTGAGGTGAATTTGACTTCACGTTGACGTTCTCTGTCAGTCAGGGACGTGGCTGGTGCCCACAGAAGGCTCAGAACCCTGCAGCACTTCTTGAAATTGTATACCCAAGTCATTCTCTTCAGTACGGGCCCCGGCTGACCCATCCTCTCTGCCTCTGAAATGCATTTAGAGCATCCCTCATGGAAATCTCAGTATCTCCTTCAGCCTAAGGTGGCTTGCCTCAGCCCTGGTCCCAGAGGGTGCCCTGGTGACAAGGACGTGGTTCTGGATATTATGGGAGAGACCAGATGGGGTTTGGCCCCTATTGCTACCCTGTATTTGCATGAGCAAGTAGTTCCCTTCAGCAGGTGCTTCCTGCTGATACTGGTACCCATGCCAGTATCATCCATTTATACTGGAGCAGCAGTGTAAGAGTTAGGAACTAGAAAAAATTTTATTACTCTTTCCTTATTAAGGTTTGAAAAACAACCAATTTAACACATGCTTTGTGAAAGAATACAGCGATATGCATAAAAGATTATACTTGTATTATCTCCCAACATGCAGAATTACAGTTTTTTACTTAATACAGATGTCTGTTAGATGTATGTTAAACTCTTGGCAAAGCCATTGAGAGTACTAACTATGCACATTGTTACTAAGCAAAAAATCAAAACTAATAGAATAAATTACATCAGAGTCATACACAAGTGTTGCAAACACAACGTATGATTAACTTGATAAAAATCAAATGTCCATAATAGCCTGTACACCATAATCAAATACATTCTTAATACATGCATGAGTTTAAAAACTGATCTGTGAACATGAATAACAAATAGTAATTGCTTCAAATTTCACGTCGGTCTTCATCCTATTTGCTTTAGTTGAATACTGCAACCAGCAATAACAAAAGAAGATGAAAATTTAACTGTAATTTTTAAGCATTTAAAACGAAAACACAACTCTCAAAAATCTTGTTGCTTTACCTAGTTAACTACCAAGGAATAAAACCTTGTGGACAAAAGCTTTGTACCCACAACTCTGTGTGTGTGTGTATATATATATAAAAACACATACTTATGAGTACAGACTATGACCAAATAAAACATACATAGCAATGGCTGTATGAGTCAAATGAGAGACATTTAGTTAGTGACTCGTCTGTCATGGAAGCTAATTGCAGATGCCTCAGGAAAAAGTACATGGCAGCAGCAGAATGATCCTTCCCCAATATCTCCTCTCTCTGTCTCTGACAATCGGTGGTTCAAGCTTAGCTGTGTTGTTGCTGTCCCTCCTCCTCCTTCTGAACCTATCTTCAGTTGTGCCTAATTCCTTCTTAAATCCATATATGCCTTTGGCCTCCACAACACTTACAGGCAACACCCTGTGAGCTTTACCACAGCTCCCTTAACAGCAGAAATGACATTCTGGAAAAAAATTGAAGAGTTCTAAGGGGATGTTATGACTCAACAGAAATAAATCAGAATTTTATCACTGACTTCACTGAAGCTTGGATTTTCCTCTAGTCTACTAGAGGAAGATGTCAAACTGTTATTTCTCTCTTTCGTAGGGCATAAATCACTCCATAGGCCTCACACAACTGTGCCTGTATCCTGCAGCCCAAGGAAAACAAGGTTACTCTACTATTAAAGCTGAATGTTCACTATCAGCCACTTTATTCTCTTTGTAAAAATAAACCGAAATGTATTTGTGTTAACAATTAAATCTTTTATGGTAAAGAAGAATCACAAGTGCTAAGAAAGAACTAGCATATATTCCAAGTAGTTTTAATTCTGGAATATAGTGAAATATAATTACTGAAGAGGGGAAGAAATGCCCACTACATTCATAGAAAGAGTTGACCAGAAGCCTGTAATACACTGCCCCAAAGTAAAAAATAACACACATTTAAAACTGGTTGGACTGAACACCTGGAAAAAATTCAGGAAAAGCAACGAAAATGTTTTTATTACCATGCAGTTCTAACAGAAGTTTCTTCATGAGAATCTTGTGTTAGATGGTTGCTCAATCACAACAGCCTATGCTATCAGGAATGGAAAATCTGAGCACTACAGTATCCTGATGGAGTTTGTTTGGGGACAGCGTGCATAGGAAAAAATTAAATGGGAACAGCAAAGAGGAGATTCAGGTGTAACACACACTGAAAATTAATTGCATTTATGATAAACTTTTGGTTTGATTCTTCATTTAGGATTTTCATCAAATTCCTGAGATCTTTCTTATGCTCTGTATCCTCACATCCCAGCCAGCCTTTGTCAATCCCTCCCTGTACAACTCCAGATATCAGGGAAACTACCTGCTGGGTCAGCCACAGACTCCTGGGTATTTAAAGCAGCCCACTTCTGAAAGACACAGCCTTTCAAATCCTAACTCTCACCTTCAGAGACTAAAGCTTTACCTGCTAATAATAATTTTCAGTTCAATTCAGGCATCCTTCTAGGCCTGCCACAGCTGAACATAAGTGAGTAAGAAAAGCTAAGGAGGAACGCAGGCAGTAAGATGACTCCAGTGGGATTTCCTCACAGGTACAGTGATTATCAATTTACAAACTGTCTTTGTCTTCTCGTTTACTCAGCTCAGACAGCTTGACTTGTAGACCCAGTCCTCAGTCCTTAACTCATATTTCTTGTTACAATTATGAAGCTATTCTATAGGAGCGCACTAACAAATTCATTCCATTTATTAATGAAGTAGATTCTGAGAATCAAGGTTGTTTTCATGCCTTTCCTCATTTTTTTCCCTGTTACTAGTAAACAAATAAAAAACAAGTAAAAAAATAAAATGGCACTGCGAAATCTAACCAGCCAGCTGACTTCCTAATGACATTTGTTATTAAATATTGTGCTAAGAACTCTGGAGCGAAATTAAATATTTCAGAGTGCTCCTCTAGCTCAGACATTCCAAGAAGGTTTTTTTTTTCTTAGAACACGGTATATTTTGCAATGCAGTTATGTCTTCCTCTCTCCTTGCACAAGAAATTTACCTTGCAGAGATGACAACAAAAAAGAAGGAAAAAAAAAAAAAGAAAAAAGAAGAGAGCAGCACTTTTTGAACATTACAAGTGTAACCTTGTTGACTACAGCAGTGTACAGAATTTTGAAGAGTGGGAAAACACAATTACTCTGGTCAAAGATAGTGCTTGTAGTTTTATATATGCTACATACCATAATTCTGTGAGAAATTGTTTATGAAAGAAAACACCCCACCTTGACTTTTGTGAGAACACAGAACTGAAGAACACAGTCTACACAAAAGGGTGTGATGTTGTACAAATTTCCTCCCTTAATACAACCTGAAAAAGCATCAGGCAAATCAAAATGACTGTACAAGCAGCAAAAAATCTATTTTCCTACAAAACATAGGTGCCAATATTTCAGTAAGCACTACTTGGTCCCCTCTATCTTCTTAGATCTTCCGTAATGAAATAAAGGAAGAAAACACAACAAGCAGAGAGGAAGTTTCATTGTTCTTGTGGCTTCGACATTTGGTGCCACAAACGTGACGGGCTCTCAAGGCTCTACTCGGCGGCACCGCCTGCCCCAAGCCTCTGTATCAAAATGTAGATATACTGCAATTAAAATAATCAAACTGAGCCCAAAGAGAACAAGCAAATAAATAGCGCTACCTTGTTTACGTTTCTGGCTCTGCTCTCACAGTATGAAATAAAGTCTCTTCAAACACATACTACATTAATTTGAAAAACAATAATATTTTCCTTCCCCCCTCCTATCTCAAAGTAGCATGAGTTTTTCAAAGTCCTAAATAAAATAAACTAAGGCATTTCCTGTATGTATTTAGTTAATTATTAAACGGATTCTAAGCATGATAGTCACCACCACTATTTCAATATGAATCCGGGAAAACACACTTTTCACAAACTGTCAGCGCACTGCAGTAATAACTGGTTATTTGCATCTTTGCAATCCTGCCCTTAACTTTGCAGACAAAATTCTAGAGAAGTGACAATCAGCACGCCTATGCAAATCCAAACACTTAATTTTATCTTTTTTTTTTTTTGTGGTCTGGGATTAGTATTATTGATGTGAGGTAAAGAGCAATGCTGGGCTTAATGCTGTGTACAATAGGAAAATAATCCCAACAAGCCTGCGATAACTTCCCAAGCAGGCGAGACAGCATACTATCTTCACGTACTACAAGTAACTATCTACAACCTTTTTCAGGGGATATTATTATTTAATTAATCTGCAATATTAAATGTTGCCCTCCCAAGGTTAAAAGGAAGGTAAATACTGCCAAGATATTTAATGACATCAGCATTCATAACCATGAGATAAATAGCAGGTCTGAAGATTAACTGAATGTCATTCTGTTTACCGGATCGTGTACTTGTAAAGAAAACTATTAAGATTAGAGAACAGAGAAAGTTACGTAACAACTACGAATGTTTCAGTGTGTTTTGTCTACCCAAGCTCTTGGTCAGAAAGAGAAAGCTTTGTTGGAAAAATGTCTTAGTCTGACTTACTCTCTACTTTTTCATGTGCACAGAAATTACTGAATATTGAATAGTAATTACTGCAATGAAAAAGACATCCTTGGGCTCCACCTCCTCTTGACAGTGGGAAAATATAGATGAGCTTGTGTATTATTCTGGATGCCAGAAAACTTGCTTACAAAAATATTTCCTGTGCACTAAGATATATTTAGCCTCATAAACCCATAAAGCTGTCACAGGCAACCACAAGTACACCTGTAGCCACTAAAAAGGGGGGAAACTACAGAAACTGGAGCATCAAATTTACATTATTTCTTTGTATTTGCTATCTAGAAACATTATCTTTAAACTCTCTTGTTCAAATATAAATTAGCTCTTCCTCCCACCTGCCCAAACCAACACCCCACCCCACCCCCCCCAGCCTACCCTCCCTAACATCCAGACACCTACGATACACACAGGGGAGCACATATACGTGGAAAAAGACAGTGCTAACAATGAAGTCACAGCACTTCAGAAACACACCTTGTTGTCTTCCAGCCTTTGCAGTTGAAGGTAGATCTCACTAGTTTTTCTGCGTCTTCAGATCAAGATGTAGATAAATTCCCCATCCATCACACTGGCTTTTTATTAAAAACAGAAGGAGAAGGGAAAAAAAAAAAAAAAAAAAAAAAAGGAAAAATAATAAAAGAAAAAAGGATACAATTACCAGTAAATTTACAGCCTTAAAAATATCAGCTCTCCGTTATCCCAAACCAGTGTTGTGTCTTGATGTAAACCAAAGCACATGCTGAGTGAGGACGTGCGCACACAGCAGCTTATCATCTCTGTCATCTGCTTCTAATGACAGCTGACAAACTGGCCACGCTAATCCTTCCCTAACTGCTGATCAGAGAGATCCCCCTTTGACAATCCAGCATGGTGGAGTACTCGAAAATTCCTCCTGCTTCTGTTCTGTTGCTGCTCTAAAAAGCAGTTTCCTTTTCATTGAGATAATAGCCTTTTCTGCAGTCACGTGGCGCCCGGGCTACATTAGCAGAGCTTGATGATAATAGACAGAGTAACTCCCCTCCCTCCCTTCTGCTGATTTTAAGTGTACGACTCCAGGAGAAACCCAAACCTGGCACACTTGAAATCATTTTGCATCTTCCTCTATCAAAAAGCAAACTGTGCTGTCGGTGAAGGAGTACTGGTGCTCTTTCTACTTCTTGCACCAAAACTAATTAACAAATACATTTTTAGGCAGTACCTTCATCGGGGCACACACACTGGTCATAAACATGTTGTATGAGACTAAACTGAATATTAAGCATGCTTAATACTGAATATCTGGCATGCTAGAATTACTCTTTTTCCTCTAGAGTACTTTATTTTTTTGCCTGTAATTTTAGTTCTGCTGCAATAAAGACTCTTCTCTCAGCAACATCCTATGGTTCAACTTCTCCCAGCACCCAACTGTACTGCAAATACAAAAAAGCACAAATAACAAACGATTCACACTACAACCTCCAGTGTGAGTACTTCCCTTTTTCTCTTCTTCCCCCCTCCTTAAAGCGACATCATTTATCTTGCTTTAACTCAGTACCCTGAAAAACATCTTCAACATTTTTTAAATACACTGCCCAGTGGGGAAACCGACCTAAGCGCCAGCTTCAGAGTTCCCATCCCTCCTGAGTGCCAAGCCCCGGGTGGTTTTGCACCTCACTGTTCAGAAGGTTTCCTGCTTGTAAAAGGCAATGTATACGTGCAAACATGCTGCTCTGTCCTGCCCTCACTGAAGTATTTCACAGACTGAAAGCTGAAAAACTTCCCTCTTCTGCACTGGCACACTGTTTCCCTGTTACCGTGGCATAAAAGACATCCAATTTATTCCCTCAGGGTCTGCCCACCTCTGACAGCACTGGGCAGTGGCATAGCCTTTCACCTGACATTTCAGTGTTGGGGTTTGCAAATCGTTTAAGCAAGGTGTGGATGAAGCATCTTAACATAATTTTCAAGCCTGCAGAACAACTTTTGCAGCTTTGTACCTAATTTTCCAATCTGTTTAGGAAACAGAATTATCTCCTTTTCTCCTTCTACTTCCATCTTTTCCCATTACACTAAATAATTTTACTTAAAGACAACATTGATCATAAACTTACAGTTTCTCCAGAAACTGAAAAGGTTAGTGTTAGAGGCTGTGGTTGTACTTATAGGAAAATAGGGTGGAAATTCTGAGGAAATAGCGGCTATCTTGTACGCACCATCTTTGCCAACGTTGCCCCGTCACCTCTTCTGTTTACTCCTCTCCCCCTGGACAGCCTTACCGAGGGAAGTGGCCCTGCCCAAGGCTCGGGGGGATCCCTGCTCCAAGGCTGCGATCAGAGCCCAGGCACAACCCTTCTGCGGCAGAGGAGCTGGAAACAGAACGGGAACGGGGCCCCTTCTGCAGCAGCACGAATCTTCTTTTCTACTCTACCCTTTCCCATGCTTTAGGGAGACTGTGAGAAACCTCCTCAGTCCACGAGGAAATAATCTGGTTCCACAAGGAGACTGTATAATACACTATGTTCAGCAGAAAAGCATATAAACATATACTCTAAATTGAGGTTGGGTTCTTTTTCCCAGTTCTAAGTATGTCTTTCCATCTCAAAGCACCATACTGGGTAAGGTAAGCAAAATGAATGTTATTCCGAGCTACATATAACTTTAAGCTCAACTGAACATGAAGTGTTTTGCAATCATGACTTTCTTTTATTAAAAACAGTCACTTGCATTTTCCGTATTAATTCCTTAGCTGAAGGAAGGTGTATCAAGCATACTGGTTAAACTGGAAAATGATACAAATGTGGGGGAAACTGTGAATGTTACAGAGAGCATCTCTGATATTCAAGAAAATATATTAATAGACAAACACCAGAAGGAAAATGAGTATTCACAAGAAAATGCACACACACAAAATACTTCACTTATTAAGTACAAATCTAAGGAAAACAAAAAAGGGGAACATACCAGTCAGTTCCCAAAGCTAAAACTGTACTGCTGATATTTACAGGAATGATAAAATGATACATTCAGAGGCAACACAATATGGTGAGCACTAACACAACAATCACACTGTTAGGGAAGGAATTATGTGTAAATAAAAAGGAGGTAACAGAAAATGGTCATTGTAGCAATAAAATATGAATTGAAGACTGAAAGGAGTGAAAGTATACAGATGTTGTTAAAAAGATTGCTTAGTGAAGAACAGAGTACAGATAAAGCAAATGGAGATGAGGGAACATACCGCTGCAGCGCACAGACCGATTCCAGACAAAAAGGGAAAAAAATAAATGAGTGAAAAAATGTTCCTGTTAGAAAACACCGGTCTGATTATAAATAAGGAAACATGCAACTGCAAAGAAGGAAAGGCTCCTCGGTTTTATCAGGCAGCGAATACATGCTTCCAGTGAAAATGACAGAATTGTTGCTTCCTTTTAAATAGGGTTGGCACAGGAATCATACACATAATTTGGGGATGAGCAGGTGACCTTTAAAACTAATTCTGGCACTACAGATTTTTTCATATTAGGATAAGACAAACATCTCATACAGCAGAAGAGGTTCACCTATTTCATTAATACTTCGTTTGCCCAGCCACAGGTGGCTTTGCAGTAGACACAGGGAAGCTACACCTTCACTAAAACATTTACAATTGATGTTTTAACATGATGAAATAATTGAAATTGATAAACAGAAAATTACTTTCATTGCATGCATTTCACAGTTCTCTCGAGTTTGTGTTTTGTTTTTCTTCCTTTATTTTCTCTTAAGAAAGAGTGAATTGGGCACAGACAAGGACATACCACAACACAATCTGGTGGTGTTTGACCTTCCTCCTGCAACCTGACACAAGGACTGGTAAAGCTATCCCAAAACATCTTTTCAGACTTTTAGTCACAAAACATCATTTTTTAGTCCTTTCTCTCACCCTCTATACCATATCCAGGAGGATCCATTTCCATCTTCATAATCCCTTCAATCCTCTCAGTTTGGAGTACCCAAAGGGGACCATCATTGCCAACTACAGTGATGGCCCTTGTTTACACTGCAGGACAGTAAAGGACTTCAAAATATGTTTGAAAGATTACAAAGCTGACTCGCTAGGCTTTATTCAAGGCAAGAGGACACTGACTTTAGGAAAGCTGACTAGGCAGCATTAAGTACTACCCATGAGAAAGACTGGAAGGGCAAAGCCCCACACCGGCACAGAGAACAACAAGCAGAAACTACTAGGACTGACTGCCAAGAAGCACAATAAAGATACTACTGCTCAGGTCAGGAACAAAGACAGTACAATGATTTTTCATGTGTTACATTTCAATAAATGTAGAACCAAGCATACAGTTTTCAAATATTAGGTCAACTTTTTTAATTCCTCTATCTGAACACTAACAAAAATATCAGGGTTTTCATGTCAAAACTGGAAACTTGTTGACTTACATGTTGATATTAACATTTTACCAGTTCAGGCTCTCCAAATTCACCACTACTTGACAACTAAGTAGATTTTTTTTTTTTCCTTTTATCAGCTGAGGAAAAATAAATAGGATACTGTAGATAAATCTAGTTTTTCTGACCTTTGCATCTCCTCTTGAGGGACACAAGAATCATATCAAATGTACATCCACTGGGATTTAGAGCACTTGGCATTTCTCACAGTCGATCTGTGTATTAGCAGTACATATATCTACAGTGCTAAGTACCTTGTGACTTCTGTCCATGTGAGGGCAATGAAAAAGACACTCTCTCTGCTCCCAACCTCTCAGATGTTACTGCTGACTTCTCTTTGTAGTATGAAAATATCCGTGCTTCGTGAACACAGCTTACCAGGGTTCTTATAACTTCATAAGCGTGCACCCAGCAACCCATCTGAAGTATTCTGTGTGCATGTTTCTGCAATATCTAACTGAAGAATTCAATACTGCAGTATGTGCTATATATAGCAATTAAGTTCTGTATGGGCACGTTCATTGACAATTCAATTGTGCTTTTTTTTTTTTTTTTTTTTTAATACAAGTATGATGACTATAGTTTACTGAGATTTTTGAGTAATGGTTGGGATTTCTTCTTTTTTTTTTTTTTTTTTTTTTTTTTTTTTAAATCTCTACTGCTTCACTCTCTTACCTTTAATTAAGAAGGCATATGAGAGAATAAAAAGGGCTTATTTCAGTGCAGTCTGGAAATGGGCAGTTCCTGGCTCATCTTTTTCCCTTCTGGCAAACTATAAAAGGATCAGATCCCCTGCTCCGAGTCTGCCTCAGGGTGCTTGCTGGTGCTCTCTATGGGTTGTACACAGCGAGGTGCTCTCTGGTAGAGATGGGCCTCAACCCACAGAGAGACAAGTTCAAGACAGTGAGTTGCTTCCATCTGCGCTGACAGCACGAGGGGAACTCGGCACAGGAAGTTGAGCAAGCAGAGAAAACCAGAACCCCAATGGAAATACTACAGCATAGAAAGAAATGTTGTATTAACATGACACATTACATAAATATAAAAACATCTAGTGCTACCATCCATTTTTAACAGAATGTAGCTAAATTATAAAGAGTCTGGGAACTTATTTTTTAAATAAATTACTTTTAGCTCTAGAAAATGTGTC